CGCTTGAATGATGTGTTTTTATTCAAAGAGTAGAAAAGTCGGGGCACTGTTATTTATACTGAGAAAAACAAAAATAAAAGCATATGATATACATTTATGAATTACTGTTTTAGTGCAGTAGTTTATTAATATAAAGTAAATCAACACTCAACAGGCATGACATGGCACGGAAGACAAGTTGAGAAATGACTTTGCATAGAAGTCCATCACTGACTGCAGAAAAAGCGGTAATCTCTAAACATTCTCTGAGTACTATTATTACCACTACCACTAATACTACTACTGTGGCATGTAACTACAGCCACAGGGTAATGTTACGACCACGTGACGTTAGGGTCGTGACGGCCGTAAAGTGTTGAGTTGCCGGAAAGCGTGGATATAAAAGTGTTGCGACTGACAATAAATGGCAATGAGCACAGAGTCAGTTTCCCAGCCTTTTATTGTACACATTACAGAACAACTACGAATACTACTCCTACTACAGCACCAACACATTTTCATTACATTTCAGAAACATAAATACTTCCAGCATTTCTGCTGATAACCGTGCCCTGTGTGGCCGCATGATAATGCCCCCCCTGCTGAAAACTCTCTCAACAGGGGCACTGCTCGCAGGTACTGGTAAAATATGCTGCGCCAGCAACGACAAAGCAGGATACTTCACACTGGCCATCCCGCCAGGTCTCCAAAATGCCACCGGCTCCTCGCCCGCCACCTCGTTCTCCAGATAGGAAGCTAACTGGGCACGCGGACTGTCTTTGCCACCACTTTTTGCTCGCTTCCTCCTCTGCTTGTATTTGGCCATGAACTTCGACATCTTTGCCGGTACTTCGTCCTCGCTAGTGCTCCCTCCGTGCTGCCCTTCCTGTACCGGTGGCTGGTCTTTCCCAAGTTTCATACACAACCAGCTCTACACAACAAAAGAAAGAAGTTATCAAAATTGCTCTGATTTCTTTTCAATAATAGTTCTAATAAATTCTGTTCTATGGGAGTAGAAAAATAAATAGACAATGGATACAACAATAAGAACACTTTACTTCCACCAAAGAATATAAAGGAATACCATGGTTCTTCATCCTAATTAGGTGAAGCAGCTTGGATACACATTGTTTTAGAAAAATTGTTAATAATAAATAATTTAAATGATTACTTGTAAAGAATGAAGTATTACTATCATTTAAAGATCCTAGTAATAGTTAGTGATATGTGCAAAATCAATAGTAAACTAATTAGTAATAGCATCGATTGAAAGCACACACAAATACAAACAGAAGAATTTTCAATATAATTCATTTTCTTGCAACCATGGACATTTAGTCTTTCTGAAAATGCAATTACAGCCTGAAGCCTAATTAACAAAATAATTGAAGGGTAATTCCTTGAGAATTTTTTAGAGTATGTGACGTGAGTAATGTTAAGTACTCATCCTAAAATTGTTAAAGATTATCATTAGTTTTGCATCAAACAAATAAAAGCAGTACAGTAAATACATTTTTGAACCAAATTCTTCTAAAAGAATATTTCAGCAGATAATCTTATGTTATTCATGTTACATACTCTGAGCGATTCTCATGGAATTGCTCTGAACATTTTGAATTGTACCTTTCAGGGTTTCCTTTAGATTTCTCCTCTTTTCCTCTGTTTCATTGAGCGACCACGTTGGCATACTGACATCAGCCACCCACTGCAGCATGTACTGTGGGTCGATGACAGGGGCCATGAAGAAAAGCTTCTCGAAGAAGGGCTCATCCTCAGCAGGCCCGCTCCCCTCAACCATCTGACATCGGATGAAAATCCCCCTGAATCGCCGTTTCAAGGAAGACTGAAGACACCCTACAATCGGCTGGCAAAACTTGGCTTCATCTGCCCACTTGCAAAGATGATTGTTCCAGGTCTAGGATGGCTGGCACCACCATTGTAATGGTTGCTGTCTGATCACCTGTCAATTAAACAAATTTATAGAAATGCGAAATTAAGAACAAGCACAACTTTAGGAAAGTATTCACTTTCTTCTTAAATCTAGCCGCCCCTCCCCCCTCTCGAAAAAAGGGGAATAATTTGTCTAGGTGGAGCCTTAACATACCTTGTGTGAGTGTTGTTGCATCAGCAAAAGGCTCCAGAATCGTCGTCAATTCAGCAAGTTGAGCCCACTCTTGGCGTGTGAGAACGAGGTTGTTGAACTCCACCGGCTCGCAGATTTCAGCAATCGCTCGACAATCAATTCCTGGTAGGTTCTGTAGAGCTTTGAGTTGAAGAAAGACAGAGCTCCAGCGTGTAGAGTTCGCAGCTGGTATTGTTCGGTCCACACCAAAACGCTCCTCAAACCTTAAAATTTTAAAGATTAAAAAAAAGAATGTATTATTGCGTACATACTGTATTTAATATGACAATATGTTCTAGACACTTGCACCATTGAGTTTCAGGTACAATGAACACTTCACTTTTCATTCAAATTTTCTACAACTCCGACTCTGCTCCCCAGGGCCTCTCCCAATTACATGTAGCTTTAGCCTTTAGCCTCAATGAAAATAAATATCCCCCCAAAAATAACCTATTAGGTTTTAATGTGGCAAAATTGCAGCAAATTGTAGAAGCTTTACAGTAACATCTCCATTAGTTTTGAATCATTTAACCCTAACTTACCGCGGAGGGGGGGTTGCCATACCCCCCCCCCCCCCCAGGACTACCCCCCCCCAAAACACCTTGGGAGAAGACCGTCTCCGATGACTAATTGGAGTGTATGGGCAAAGCATGGGATCCTGTGTTTAGAGGCCAAGATCAATGCCTGTCTCACAGCCCCCGCATCCTCTTCATCCTGGTCCTCCCAGAGGTCGCCATCATCTACACCAGCCCCTTCCTCCCCTTCGGCTCCAGACGGGTCTATCTCCGGAAATTCCAAGGAGAATGCGCGTTTCATGTTGGACGCATTGTCCGTCACAATGAACTCCGCCTAAACCAGTGGAAAGAAAGACAAAAAAAAAATCATAAGCCTCACAGTTATCCAACTTCTTTTGGCAGGTGACAACCGAAAATGTGGAAGGACACACGGCTCTGACAATGATTTGTATCACTTGGTCACGAGTCACTTCTGCAGTCAAGCTGTCAAGGCACATAGGATAGCATAAATGATATTCATTTTCAGTGCAGATAGATTCTGAACGTTGCAAATCCCTAGAGTTAGACAATTGAGCCTTGGTTAATCAGGTGAAATTAATAAGTATGTTGTTTGCTTTCAGGTTGTTGAGATAGTGTAAAAATAAAATTAGCAAATACTTTGAACTGAACCTGTGAGCTGTCATTACCAAGGTATATGTAAACATCAATTTCAATAAATTTCCTTTAACATTATAGAACACACATTTCAGTTACTGAATGAGATCTCTCCCCAAGCCCCTATCAAATAACAGCAAAAGCTCATTGTAACAATGTCCTTTGTGCTTTGGAATGAAAATTTTGCAGCCTGCTCCTCCTTCCCTCAGGTAGAAAAACAATGAAAAACAAAAAGATGGGACAACCAAATTAAGTTATCAAGAACCATGCCATTTGGTATTTTAAAATGATTCAACACATTTATAAAACAATAAAAATAAGAATATCTCAATCAAGCAAAAAATAAATATTCTGTCCTTCCAGAGCAAAATGGACCGAATGATCAACATTTCATTATATTTGATATTATTGCGGCATCTGAAAAAATGGTAATTAAAACAAACTTATATCAAAGTACATGCATCAATAGCACAGTCACAGTTCTTTTTTTGGAACGGGCCTTGATGGGGGGGGGCAGTTATGTAACAGGCTTACCTTGTTGCCAATACCAAAGTCTTCAAGGACATTGTCAAAAGACCTTGCAATGGCCTCTCCTGTGTGCCTTCCCTTGAACTTCTGACATGTCAGCAGGATGGATAAGAGCTGGTATGTTTGAGTCTTCGGATGAGGAGCCAGCAAATGGGCAGTCACTCCAAGGAAACTCCTCATCGTTCGGTCTGTCCAGATATCGGTTGTCAGGGAGACAGTCTCCTGCCCTCCCATTAAATGTCTCACCGTCTCTTTCCCTCGGGCCATCATTTCTGTCAGTGTCTTTGCCAGGGATCTCCTTCCCATGTGGTTGTACCTACAGGAGGTAAAAATAAAAGAAACAATATTGGCAAAGTGAGAAAGAATTTCAGGTTTTGAAAAATTACTCAAGATTTGATGCTATGTATTCCAAACAACATGTTGACCTGTTCTGAAGAAAAAGGATGAAAATGAAACAAAATTGAGTAAATCTAACTTTGGAAGGTACATCCACTCCTCTCCCCCTCCCGCCACACACATTTAACTGATTTGAAGCATACATGAATGCAACCATACTACGATCTGGTCTATTACTACCAAAATGAAAATGTTCTGGCGGCAGTATTGATTAAAAAATTACAACACTGGACTTGAGCTAGGATTTAAAAAAAACAACAACAAAAAAAAAAAACATACCGAGGATCCATTTCAGCTACAAATTCCCTGAAGCTCTCGTTTACCACGATGGCGAGTGGCAAGCTACACTGGACCACGAGTCTCGAGATTGCTGAAGATATTTGCTTCTGTCGTTGACTTGCCGGAGCATATTTTGTCACACTCGTGGATGCAGTCGAGACAAAGCTGTTCAGCGTCTGTTGCCCTTGAACACCACTTTTACCTTGAAGGTAGTCTCTATATCTGAAATGATATTTAAGAAGAGGAAAAAATTAGGAAAAGATCATCACATGAAAGCAACAAAACATTTTTTTTTTATAATAAATGCATTTTGGTCAAACTATAATATTTTTATCCTGTTAGCTGCTACAATCAGATCAGCCATGTAATAAAATTGAATTAAGCACTTCTGAAGGTAAGTAATCAAGATTTTCATTTAGCGATAATCAAATAAAATACTAAATGATGAATGCTCAGTTTTTTTATGTGTCTTCCGGGTTGAGTGAACGCTCGCGCGTCTGGCTGCAGCTGCTCACCCGCAATTATTATTATTTTTAGCGTTTGTTTTACGGTTTTTTACGGTTAATCTCGTCATGGGAGAAACCCTCATCTCCTGTTTCGTTGTGGTTTTGGACCGTCGGTTGTCGCACGGTTGTGACATGTATTATATTATCTAATAAAAGCAACACGACCCTCACCCTCTGCATCTGGAAAATATTGACTGTTAGAATTTAAGCGCTGGCGCGACAGGGTAGTTAACCCTCACTAAGCTAAGGGTGGTGGAAGGGAAGATAAATTACTTTACGTTCAATGCATGCAAAAGGAATGGACAGTACGCGGTACCTGAAAATAATGCACTTAAGAGAGATGTAGACCGCGGTCTATCGAACCCGCAGTCCATCGGCCCCGCGGCCTACCGGGCTGTTGTGTTGGCCGCGGCTGTAGCCGCCTAGCCGACTCGCGTTTTTAAATGGTCATAACAATTTTAATCCAACATTTGGGGAGCGACGTACGAGTCATTATTAGCTCCCATTAAACATTCAATGTAGAATTGATAAAAAAACAAATTCATTCAATAGGGTCTACTTACTCTTCTTGATGTTGCCGTTGGTAGTGTTTTGTGAAGCCCGAAGTCGTACCCCTTGTCTCCACGATTATCCTTGTCATTTTGCACGTTTTGCATCTCGCACGTTGCTTCGCCTTCCCTTTTTCAAAAAATTCTTCATGCTCAACGAAGCCAAACTTTATTATTCGCGAATGCGATCCTGCGGACATGCTGAATCGTAGAGGTGTTAATAATACGTCCAGGCGCAAATTCTATCGTGTGAGGCCAGATCCGCCACTCGTGCACGCTCGCGGAAAAAAACGTACTGAAAAAAAAACGCTGGTGAATGAGACTGAACGAAAGCGTAGTACTAAGAGGAGTCAAGCGAAAAATCTGCTTCTCTATTTATAAGAGGGAGACTTTAGTCTCCCCCCCCACCCCCCAAAAATGTGATACACCCCGAATTACTTTTCATTGTTTTGTTAATAAGTAAGTACCCACCAACGGCAAATTTATGGTAAACGTACGCACCGACAAAGACACAGCTGTCCTGCACAAATTCCTTTCAATTACTTCATTACCGACGAGCCCCTCTCCCCCACAGAAACCAAATACGTGATACACCCCTATTTACTTTACATTGTTTTGTTAATAAGTACCCATCAACGACAAACCACTTACTTACCCACCGACAAAGACACACAGCTGTCCTGCACAAATTTCTTTCGATTACCGACTAGCCCCTCTCCTTTCAGTCCCGAA